TTTTATTTTATTTTATTTTATTTTATTTTATTTTATTTTATTTTATTTTATTTTATTTTATTTTATTTTATTTTATTTTATTTTATTTTATTTTACGTGCTTGAGAGCGTTGGGGAGACGCTTGCAATGCCGGCGGGGAACGGCAGCAGGGCGCCTGCCAGGGGAGCCGTGGGGCGCGAGACCCCAGGTAGCTTGTGCAGCAGCACGTGGTGGGTGCTTCCAGGCACCTGTCTCCGAAAGTACAGCTTCTGCACCATCCCTCCGCCACAACTGTTGTTCTCCCACCCTCCCTCCGCCACAAGTGCTGTTTTCCCGCTGCTCAGGAGCATCAAGGCCCGGATGGGGCCTCGGTCGGTGCAGGGGCCGCCCTGGAGCTGCTCACGTCTGGCCTGAGTGCCGGGCTGCCCCTCATTGCTCAGGAGCGTGTGCGTCTTAGCAGACTCGGGCCACGACGCCTCAACTAAGACTGTCCTTGAGCTGCCTTTAGTAAAAAGAGGAGACAAGTTGTAGTTAGGACGTATCTAGGACGTACTGCTGTTAAATAGCAAAGGCTGGCAGCTGTGGCAATGCACTGGCTGGCCCAGATCTTTTGATGTTTTGCTCAGGAATAAATTATGTGAGGATTAAAACACCCAAGAGATTATGATTGTTATCGATAACCTGTATTGCCTGTACCTGTAATAATCTTCACCTGAACAGTAAAGACATGTTCAATTGGAGAAAAATACTATTATCCCATTGGGTAAAAAATAGAGTAATAGGACATTTTGTCTGAGCTTACAGCTCACTGAGGTCCATTAATATAACCTGTAGTTCATTCTGGAAAAAAAAAATGCTGTTTTCAAACAGGTACCTCTTTTTATTTCAGTAAAAACAAACAAAAGCAACATTAAAAGAACATGAAAGCCTAAGTCAAGCATTCCAAGCACATGCATGCCGTGTCAAACATTCCGAACACATCCCACAATTAAAGTTGGCTCTGCAGCCTCTGGATAGCCATTGTAATGCAGTCTTTGCTTACCTGAACACTTCCTGCTGTTCTCTGCAGAAATCTGGGCAGGCGGGCAGACATGTCTGTTTTGATGTCTGATACATGTTGTCCCGTTATTTTGAGATACATAGCTAGATATAGATAGATGGATGGAGAGATGTACAGGTCACAGAGAAGGATGATTTTTCTTCCATGAATTTATATTGTACAATGTTGATGAATAACTAAGGTTATCCTTTCTAATCTGCTTTCATTAATGATTATGTTGATATATGGTTATTATGCTGTGAATTGCCTACCTCTTTATCATCTTTTCTAATCTTACCTCTTTTAAGGAATTTCACCTTCAGAACATTTTCCCTATCTTTTGTTTGTCATTTTTCACCTACTTACTGAAGCTCAGTCGTTGAATTTGATCTTTGACTTGAAGACTTTGTTGCTATAATGTATGTAGTATAAAAGATACGAAACTAAGACAATAAATGGCCAGTTTTCATAAAATATTCATTTATTCCTGTCACTTAACTAGTAACAACATTTTGGCCCTGAAAATGAAAGGAGAACAGGTAGTTTTATTTGTAGTTTTATTAGAAAACTGCATGAAAATATTCAGAACTTCTGCTGATTTGGTGTGATACATGTAATATGTTTGCTCCAGCATGTTATACAAGAAATGAGTGTGGCTCTTCACTCAGAACAGGTTAGAAACTGAGGAAATAAAGTTTGGAGGTAAATAAACAATTTTAGGTTTTATCTTGCGTTATCTCAGCTGTGAGTGCTGGTTGAAGCTTCAGACTTGTGCTTGCAGACTACTTCTGTAAATTTTGTTTCGACATACCTTCCGAATATAGGGGGAGCTGAAACCACTGAGCATTTCTGCTGCTTAGAGTCAGGCATTTATGATTTGTGTACTCAAAATGCTTTCTGAGCCAGAATCTGCAATATAATTGCTTGTTGGGATTTGCATCGTTATATGTATATATTATGGCCTCAACCAGAGCTTCCGTCACATGAAATCCTGAAGAAAATGTGATCAAATTGCCTTTCTCATTTTCTATGACTGAATCTGTCCCTTCTGTTTAGGTTTAGTGCATATAATTCTATATGCCTTTGACTTTCCTTAAATTGCTAGGGAGGATTCTCAGCATTTGCAACGTTCATAGCTCATGGTTTTAGAAACGAATGTATTTTAACAAACATATCTTACAGATGACTAGAAGTTTCACTGCAGAAGGCAACATAAAAACTTCGTGTATATATTACACTTACATATAATTATCTCATATTTTGTGCATGCTGATCTGGAGGATCCTCTAAAGCAAATGCAGCATATATGAATAAAATGTAAATTGCGTGATAAAATACATGACTATTTAAAACACATGACTATAATTGAACAAAGTAAGAATTGCCAGGTGCATGCTTGAGTATGTGCATTGCATATGTGGAGGGGTATTCTATTTGAAAATTAAAAGTAAATACAGCATTTGCATATCAACTGATGAAGCTCATGAGGCTCATCATAACACTCATCAGGCTATTAAGTAAGGACATATGTGTATAAATATATATATATACACACATGTCCTATATATGTCCTATAGTATGTCCTATATATAATATATATATATGTAGGCTTTGAATGGGAACATTTGGAAGAAAGAGAGCATTTTTTTGTTACAACCCGCTCCTTCCTGCAGCACCCATGACCAAAAGCAAAACATGGAGATCTTGAAGAAGATTGAAAGAATAGTATGGTTATGGTAATATTAAGAACGAAAGAGAGAGAGAGAGAGAGAGAGAGAAAGAAAGAAAGAAAGAGAAAGAGAGAAAGAAAGATGGACAGGTCATTGCATCAGGGGTAACTGTTCTTCAGTTCATCTAATACCAATACTGTCAGGCTAGATCCATTATGCTGGAACTTTCTAAGGTATCTCACCTAGTTAAAAGGAAAATACGATTTTGAAAGTACCACGTGTATTATCTTGATTAAGAACAAGTTGTCATATATCACAACAGCATAGAGAAGTACTCCCTGTAAAGTGCTTTATGAATCCAAATACATTTCAATTTTTTAAATTACCCTTTCAAAAAGCAAACATCAATTTGCATAAAAGTACAGGTAATAAAAATATTTGTGAAATAATACATAATAAAGACAGAACAGTGACAAAATTATAAAAATAATTATTTCATTTTGCAGAACAGAATTAAACACATATTTGTAGTTAACTTTTCTATTTTTTAAGACAAATATATTGTCTTTCTCTGTGACTAGGCCTAATCTTGATTTTAATGTTTTGGATTTTTGTGATCCTTAAAAACTTCCCATTAGAGAACTCTCTTTGGAAATGTTAACTCCTATAAATTACATATGTCAGTAACTTTGGTGAGAGATGTGCTTTGATTATGCCACAGGCACACTATCTCCATCTTATTCTTCTAAGGCCTGTAAGGTAGGGGTTTTCCCTAATGACTGCAACTTCCCTTACCAAGTGTTTAAAGTAATAAACAGCTTCTGATTTTTACTAACATTCTATGTACGTTTTTCTACTTCCTCATCCATCTGTGACAGTGATGTTTTAATTTACTGAATTAGAGCAAAAAAAAAATGTACTGAAGTGTTGCTGAATTTAATTTACTGACTGTCAAGATCAGAATTGAGCCAATTCCATCCCTGATTTGTGAAGCATGTTTTTTAGTCACCCAATGAACATTTTTTCAAGAGCAGCTAGCTGCACATCCTGGGGCAGGCATCTGATCACAGGGCTATTGATGCCCTCAGGACCCAGACAGAAGTGCAACTTCTATTCACATATACACTATCCACATTCTTTTTTTTCTTTCCATTGTCTCTATTACTTAAACATCCGTATTTGTGGCTGGTCATCTGCATCTTTCCAGTAAAGAAGACTTCAAAGTTTCTCGATGATTTGCAATGTTTATGCCACAGGAGACTGCCAGATTCTTTTCATTGCTGTCACTCTTGAACCTGAAATTCAAGCATTGTCTTCGCAAAACTCCATCCTTTGCATTTTCTGAGTGTTTAAATTCATTTATTTCAAATTCATTTTGTATTTAATTCATTTCTTTCAATTTAATTCAACCTGATTAAGCCCTCTTAATTCCAAAGGTGAATGGTTTAAGTATAATAAATATACTTTTGCTTGTTTTACATTTTAATGTATGTAATGTGTTATACATTTTAATTTTTACATTTATTTACATTTTTGTTATACATACGTTTTAAAATTTTAGGCAGGACATTTTTAATACATGCATATATTTAGCCAAAAACACCTTTAGAACATTTCTATTTCGAGATAGTAGACTATTCTTTTTCTGATAGCAAGACAGAGCTAATTTTGAACAACGATATTGAACAACAGATGAGAAATAAACAGAGGTGAGAGCGCCTGGAGCCAATGCGATGGTTTTAACACTGGGTGTCACTATTGCTTCATGCATGGAAAGCACAGGCCACACTATCGCAGTAGAATGAAATATTACCTGATCAAACATTCTTATCAGCTGTGCAGCCTTCATGGCATTAATTTAAGCAGGAAGATATAAATAATAGAGAATTTCTTCATTATTATTGCTTATATTTTATGAAATTAAAAGTCATAAACCCAGTACTGTTGGATAACTTAAAACTGCTCAGAAATCATAATGTAGACATTAAGCAGTAAAAATCCTTCAATTTATAATATTAAAAGTTTATACATATAAAGCAAAATATTTTGACATTTTTCAAAGTTATCTCTTTGCATATTTGAATAGAGTATACATGCTGATGACCCCAGACTAACCTTGTGCTTAATGGAGGAGAAAGAGTTATAAGGTTGTATCTGGTCCTGATACCTAGATGTGCACGTTCAACTGGATTTCAGGATTTGCTTGTAGGAAGCCAGGTCTAAGTAAAAGATGTCCGGCCCTCTTGCCATAGCTGGTTCTTAAAATAAATGCATAAATGGCTCTTAAAATTATTTCTTCCTGAGAACAGGTTCTCAAAGGATAGATCATTCTTTACATAGTGTGTTAGGAATACCATTAAGAAAAAGATGGAAGGAGGGAGCAGAATTTCCGCTTTGGTTTTAGAAATTAGCTGTTTAGAAACGGCATTAAAAGTACACTCAAAAAAAGGACCGAAAAATTGGTATTGGTATAAAAAATCCCCCAAATACTAAAAATGGTATTTTTTATCTTTTGTCTTCATTGTTTTTTGAAACAATGTTATAATATTGTTATCAAAATATGTGTGCGTAGATGACAATTATAGCATGGGTAAGTTGCAACATTTTTATCAAAGTAATATGGTTCTGGTATCTGCTTGAACTATGCGCATAGAGAACTCGGGAGAGAGATAAGCCTAATTTTTCCAGGCGCCTTATGGTCAGTTCTGACTCTGAAGAGCTGGGAATCTATTGTATTAATCAAGTTTTACTCTTTTCAGAATCTCTATAAAAATATACTTTTGGAAGAGACTGCTAGTGTCAATCTTCTGCCACCATGAACAGTTATGTTGCACAATCCCGTTAACGGCATTTATCAAGCTGCATTTTAGAGACCATTATGTTTCTTGATCTTACTACATCCCTGGAGAAAATATGCTAGAATATCACTCATTCGTGACTGGAAACCACCTGCTTGCCTTCAGATTAAATATATTCCATATCAGTTGAACTCCCAATTTCTTTCTTTTACAGTTATTAAAAAAAAAATCCTGCAACTTAGTTTGCAAAGTTCCAGGACTGATGAAATCTTCTTCCTTTGGCTTCAGTGTATTAACTGCTTTGCATTTGTTTTTACCTCAGTGCAGGCTAAAACCACACTTAAAAAAATTGAAAAATGGGAAGTCTAATTAATGTAGCTTTGCAATTGGTGTGGCGGGGTGCTTGCACTTCTGTCTGATAGGCAGTTAGATAACAGATTAAACAAGAAGGATGTGTATAGTCAAAGCATTAATGAGGTTTACACACTACATCTATGGTATTGGTACAATGAAGGTATGCTGTGAAAACAAAGCATTTAAGCTATACAGCATGAAATGATCACATGGAAAAGTAAAGAACTGAGTGCCTGCGTCACATGCATAGAGAATACTCATTAGTTAAAGAGATTAAATAAAATTGTGTCTATGAGAGAGATGAATTTTTTAGAAAAGTAAATTATTTAAGTGATAGCTGCAAACTTGCTTTGCGCTACTAGATGCCACTGCTTACTCTTTGGTGACCAACACTCAGTATTATTATTATAACATGTTATATTACCTACAAAATGCTTGGTTTGGGACAGATTACTTGGGTGGCTACTATGTTGCATCCATATTTGGAAGAAGAGGAAAATCTGGGGCAGCTAATCTTAATGCTATCCACAATATGGTCAGCTCCAGAATACCTCAGTCAGGAGCCCAGAAGTATTAGCACAGGCCTGTGGAAAGTGCAGAAGGCGGTTTGCCTCGAGGATCTTGCCTTCACCCATATTTTCGCAGAGGACAGCAGAAACTCAATGGAGCGGTGTGATCCTGTGATGGCTGTAGAGGTTGTGACCACAGCCTGAGCACGCCGAGGTGCTTGTGCTCTGCACAGCAGTCACCCTGAGCGGGTGCAGGCCGGCACCGTGTTGCTGCCTTGCACCTATGGCTTGGCCTACGGGCCTGTGCTGCCCGTCTTCCTTGGCCACGGGATAAACTTGGCCAGCTAATTGTAACGGAGGAGACTGCAGGCAGCTCCCTGTCATCCAACAGGGCAGCGACACATGCTCACGTGAACATCTTGGCTTTTCCATGGAGGAGGAGGTACGTTAGCTGCAAGAACTTAAAAGGCAGTGAGAGAGAGATGGTTCATTGTACTACCCTGCAGAAGTACTGGTATGGAAGTAGGCGGTAAAAAAGGAAGAAAAAGGAAATGGATGAGAGTGACTGTCCTCTGTCAGCATCTGGCTTTAAAGCGGACCTCTGCAATGGTTTTCTCACTTCATCTGCTTTTGCTGGCCCTGGAGTAAAAACTAAGGTGAGTCTGTTTTGGTTGGAGGTGCCGGGGTGGGAAGGTGCCCATTGCTCTGTGTTGTGTTGGATGCTGGTTGAAGCTGTGAACCCAGCAGGTTTTACCTCAGACAGCTCTCAAAAGCAGAGCAAGTAAGACTGGGGAGCCTCATTTTCACTCATCTCCTACAGAAGTGGAAGGCAGTGTATTTTTATCCCACTGATAAAATAGCAGAGCTAAATTCTTATTTGTAAGTTTAATACAACCACAAAGAAGCTTTTTCAGATTTATGCAAGGACAACAGAATTTGAATCCAGTGTAAAGTTACAAACTTGCACAGTGTTTTGCAGTACACATACATGAAGCTGGGAACAACAGAGCCCTGTCTGTAAGTTATCTGGGAAGCTAGTACCTACGTAAGTGCATAAAACTACTTTGATTGTGCCTGGAAATGACTAGTCTTACAGCCTCTCTTTTTATCTGCAATTATTTGGACATGTAAATTGTATTTGTACTTTTACTCAGTGCAAGTCTGAGCTACTTAAGCCTTTTTACCTTTTTTTTTTTTACCTTTTAAGAGTTACAGTTTAAGAGTTACCTTTTAAGAGATTTTCACCCAATCCTGGATCAAAGAACATGGATGACTGTTAGTTCTTTTCATTTCAGTAACTAAATGAAACGTTATGTTTCATTCATTATGTCTAAGACCATTCGAGAAAAGAGTAGTGTAGGTGTTTAACAGGCAATATTTTGGCAAAATAATTTAATTATGTATGATTTTTCTAATGATGAAGGTTTGGTGATAGAGAAAGGTTATTTAGACCTATGGTGATTTTATCGGATATGGTAAAGATACCACAGGTTATGAGTCCTTGGACCATAACCTTAGATCTTAGGTTCTTTAGATCACTTAAATACTTTATCACATAAAAGATAGGGGAGAAAGGAACTGTCATTATCAAGTTTTAAGTGAAAGTACAGAAAAACCTTCGAACTCCTTGGCCTTTAATGCAACATAGAAACAAACACTTTATTCCTCCCGTTCTCCCCAATCAATTCCATCAGTAGCACTTTCTGAGTTTTTGAGATCTTACAAATTCACATTTAATTGCTACTGGATTTCTTTACAACAATTTAAACTGTCTATTTTTTCATATTTCAAAGAGCTAAATGTTAATTACTAAGGATCAGAAGAAGTGTGTGCCTCCTTTCTGTGGGAGAGGGAGACTCAGCAACATCTTGAGTTCTGGCTCCTTAAAGACCAGGAGGCAATTTCTCTGGGCTATGAAACTCTAACTGATAAGATATTTCAACAATATTGACATGCCATATTGCATACCTTGTAGTAATGCAACAGGTGCCCAAGAGAGCTAATTAGAGGAATTATTGAACACCTGCAAGCTCCATTTAGTTTACTAGCTTGTCTGTAACATAAGTAAATTAGAAAAGGGAGTATAGGAGGGTCTGGAAGAAGTCTTGGATCTTTGACATGAAATGCCTAAGCAGAAATAGCAGAAGGACATTTGGAAAAGTAGTGCAGGACCATTAGAGTCTGAGAGTCAGCCCAGAGAAGAAACAGAATTTGAGGAGGACCGCTAATCCTACAGGGCCGCTATTCTGAAAACTTGGTGGAGATGCACGTCTTAGCACAGAGTGGCAGGAGGGTTGATATTTCACTACGTTTTTCAGGATTAGTTGGGGAGAAGAAAAAAAAAGCAACGTAAAGCATGAAATTTGTGATAACATCATTTGGAATTTTACTTTTTTAAGCATAGGATATCAAGTATGATATTCATATCCAATATGAAAAGCCTACTTCATTTTAATTGAGTAGTATAATTGTTTGAAAACAGCAGTCAGGATGCAGCTGCTCTTCATTTTTGTGTGTGTGTGTGTGTGTGTGTGTGTGTGTGTGTGTGTTTATTTTAGTTTGTTTTTGGCTGGAATTCTGATTTGTTGCACTGACTAAATCGTTATGTGGCCTTTATGGTTGAGTACAGTAGGTCAGCACAGCTTCAGGGCACTGAAAGAGGAAAACCAATGTTACCGCTCCGCTGAATACTTGAGTAGTCTATATGATAGAATTTGTTTGCTGAAATAAATTACATTTTCTAATTAGTTCTGAACATATATTCATATGATTTCATCTTAGATTTCTACTTTGATGGAAGAGATGAAAAAGTGTGTGACACTCACATAGTCTGCTCCCACTCAACTTTACCAGTTTATGCTGTAATCCTACGATGATCTGCATGTGTGTTTAATGAGATACAACATATCTTTTTGGTTAGGATCTCAAGTATAGTTATAGTCTTCATTGCTGATCTCTTATTGCAACTAGGAAAATAGTTGGGTATTTCCCTTAAACGTTTGGCTGAGTATGTTTAGAAAGTGCTAACTCTGCCTTAAGGTAGAAGGTGACCTCTCATGAGCTCTTTAAACATTTAACCTTTGGTTGGTAGTCCCATGAAAGCATCAAGCTTTTTTTTTTTTTCGTTTGAGGTGATGATCTACTGATCATCTGAATTCCTGCAGATTGGTGACCACGAAACACTGTGTGCCTCAAGATGGCAGTATTTCATTTGGAAGAAACCTCTCCAGGTTGGGGGCTGTTTTATTATTCCTTGTACCATAGGGCCTAAGTGACAGGCTGTCAATAATTAAAGGGACGGTAGGAGAAGAGAGGGCACATGTTTCACATCTTCTGACCTGCCATAATTTTTTTCCATCTCTTGCAGCATGATGATTCTCTACCAGAGGTGCTATAATAATCTGTTTACAGGCATTGCGATACCTGCATTCCAGTCTCCAGCAAAACTTCTGCTAGGAAATCCTTCATTTCAAGAATTTTTGACTTTTGAATCATTTGCCAATAGAGATTTATTTTATAATGAAATATGCAGAAATGTCATTACTATACAGCTTCTCGACTTTTTTTTTTTTTTATTTTGGCTCAATATTCTTTGGGGAATATATTGAATTTACAGTATTAAAAGCTAATTTGAAGACATATTTAAAGAGCAATAGGAAGTTCCGCGTTTAAGATAACATCATGTCTAACTTTGAAGTAGCTAGTGCCTCAGTTGAGAAACTAGTTTCTGATGACATCCTAACATTTTATTATTTATGTTAGTTGCTTCTAAACTAGAGCTGTGATTCCCAAACTAAGCCTATGATGCAAGATTAAAAAAAAAAATAAATTAAAAAAAAACTCTAAAATTTGGACTTGAAACTCACAGTGGCTTCATAAATCCTTGCTTTTTCATGCAATCAGAGATAAACCCTTGTGCCCATAGACACAGGTCTCAACACATGAGATTACTTATGTGTCTTTTATGGCAAATTTTTGGTAACATGACAGATGTACTTCAAATTATTTAAGGAGGGCAAGGGGCTCCTTACAGGAGCTTTCACCTCCTCAGAAAGATGGCATCTTCTGCTCCTCAGTGAGGATCCGTGCAGGAGCTTTGCTTCCTACCCCGAGCTCTGCGTGTTGCTCACCACAGACCGTTTGCTCCCTGTTGGTGCTGAGCATCTCCCACTTGCCACACACTGCATGTCAGGAAAGGGGCAGTGGCTTCGCAGGACTCTCACAGCTGGAAGTGACCACTGTGCAGCAGGCAAGTTTAGGTCACATTGAAAGAAATTTGCTTTGAAACATGCTTACAAGTATTTCGTCAGACTGGATTTACCAGAGAAAGCTTTTGTTTAGTCTAAAGCAATGTTCAGTTTTGGTCCTGAATATGTAGCAAGACACCAGAACTGCAACCCAGCGCTCTAGAAACTGAGGATTTTTGTGCAAGATCTTGAGTTTGGTTATTGAGGCTGGGTATTTTTTTGGCAAAGGCTGTTGCAGTTATTTCATGGACACAAACAAAAGAAGAGCTGTGTGGAAAGTTCCTTAATGTACAGACACATGACATTTTAAGTAGTGCCTGATTTTAGCTGTGGTCATTACTTCTAATGAAAGCTTGTCAGCAGATTTCACTTCATTTAATCTGCATTGGAGAGTGATCTTGGAAAGGATTTGTAATAATACCAATCACAGCAATTTAAAAGTGTTTCAGGAGACAGAAGGAATTTAAAGAATCATGAGGTGTTTTGGGGGATGGCTCCCAAACAAGAATCATACATGTATGTTCAGGTACAAACAAAACAGCATAAGAATAGTCACTAAAAGCTTCTGAGAACAATTCTTTCTAAGATAAGATTTTGTGGGTTTTTTTTCTTATAGAAATGGGACAAGCCAAAGAGTATTTTATCTTGATAGATGCAAAGGTAGTATGCTTGTCCACACTAAATTTCCTAAACGAGAAATTCTGGAAGAAAAAGTCTGTAAGAAATGTCTATGGTAAATTTATAAATTAGCAGCATCACATTCTTCCCTGTTTGGAATCTTCTTCCTCCCTTTTTCCTCTCCAAAATTGGCCATTTAAAGTGGAAATAACAGTAGAAGGGCTGAAAACGGATGAAGCCCCCTGCCCTGTTAGTCTGTCC